GCCATCAACTCTCGTGATTGTGGCAGGCTTGACTCCTGAACGGTCAGTCTGCCAGTAGCATCGAGCATCTCATGAACCCAAGTCGCATCACTTGGCCAATCTGCACGCAGGAACTTCTCGGGATAGTGCGCTATCAGCACTCGTGATTGCGGCAGGCTTGGCTCCTGCACGGTCAGGCTGCCAGGAGCATCGAGCATCTCATGAACCCAAGTCGCATCACTGGGCCAATCTGCACGCAGGAACTTCTCGGGATAGCGCGCTGTCAGCAACCGTGATTGTGGCAGGCTTTGCTCCTGCACGGTCAGGCTGCCAGCAGAATCCAGCATTTGATGGCTGCAGGCAGGTTCCGGCATCGTCTCAGCCTTGGAGTGCAAGCGGGCTGCATGCTTGCGGTTGGAAGTGAGACTACTATTCGATGCTATAACTTGTTCTATGTACTTTAATATACTATAGTACAAATATATTATAATATGCGATCATGAACTATGTTATAACTTGTATACTATAATATACTACAATGTACTACAATGTACTATATTGTACTAGAGAACACTAAAACATATCATGACATGCAGAAATACTACAATATATCTTCTTATACTTTAATACACTATACTGTAATATACGATGATATAATATAACAACTTGCAATACACTATGATATACTATAACATGCTATCATAAACTATCATATACTATCATATACTATCATATACTATCATATACTATCATACACTATCCTGTACTACCATATGCTACCATATACTATCATATACCTAATATACCATAATGTGCTATGATATGCTGTAATATGCTATAATATGCTATCTTATGCGATGATAAACTCTAACATACTATGATATACTGCAATACTATAATACACTATAATCTACTACAATATCATAATACGCGATAATATACTATGATCTACTACAATATGAGACACGAAGAGTCACAAATTGGCTGCACCACTTACTGGCAGTGCAGGTGCTATCTCCCTGCGCAAGTCCTGCAAGGAGGCATCCAGCATGCTCCCGACTTGGATAACAGGCGCAGCACCACTTGAATGAGGAAGGGTAAGCTCGAAATTCCCAAAGACTTCCGAGATGGGCAGGCTAAAGGAGATTGAACTTGCTTCCCTGCTTTCCCTGATTATCTTGGCGAACTCGTTTCTTGCCCACTTAGAGAACTATACTGAACTTAGACCCCTAGCAAAAATTATAATTTTAGCTGCTTCTTAGGGTTTAAAGTAGCCAAAGATTAAAAATTATTTCTAAGTACCCCTAAGAGAAGCCCGCGTCCACCACATGGGTGACATCCTCCCACAACCTTCGTCGCCGACGCCGGATCATCCTGCCTGCGCTCAAGCCCAAGTTTTGATAGGAGCCCTCCCACTGCAGCAGCCATCGGACTGCTTTGTGGACATATTCAATGAAAGCCTCCTCGTCCTTGCTCTTGCCGGC